ATCGTTTGGTGGTCACGAATATCGTCATTAAAACGTTTGGTGGTCAACCGTTTTCCCAGAAAAAAAGAAAAACCGTATGCTCACGCCATTGGTCGTATGACTCTGTGCTATTAGTCAGAAAAATTGTATTTGTCACCCAAATTGACTTTGATAGGTGTCTGCTAGATGTCTGCTGAAAAGCGGCAGGAGCCAATACAAAAATAGGAAGAAGAAGAAAGAGGTGCGTTGCCGCTGCAACGACGAGGCCGTCCACGAAACGTCGACGAGGGTACAACTATAATCGCACCTCCACGCCTGAGATATTTACCCGTAATAAATTTAGGTTGTGTGTGTGCGTATGCGTGGCGTGTGCGTGTGCGTGCGTGTTCATATGCGTGGCATGTGCGAGGCGTGTGCGAAGCGTGTGCCTGCGTGTGCGTGTACGTATGCGTGTGCGTGTGCGTGCGTGCGTGTGCGAGCGTGCATGCGTGTGTGTGTGTGAACAGGAAGGATTGATTCGCACGCATAAAGCCCCTTGCACAATGCCAGGCAACAAGCAATAGGATCTAGAAATAACAAAAAAATGGTTAATTATAACCTTAAAAATTTGTTGACAACGGGCAATAGGCACAGAATTTCCAACGTGACGGAAACTCTGTGTCTATTGCCTGTGTCACTGTTTATTTTACATTTATACATGATTTCTGATTTCTATTCCCTGTTCCTATTGCCTGTTGCCTGGCATTGTGCAAGGGATTTTATCCTTTAACAAACCTACGAGTTTGTTAAGCTCGAGTTCGTCGCTGGCCGGTATTCATAATCAGAACATATTTCAAGACCGTCTTAAGTAATCTCTTAACTTAAAACGTTAATACGGCTTTGTGATTAGTTAATGACATCTTAAGATTGTACTTAAGACGGGTCTTAAATATAAGAACCGACAATGAATACCGGCCGCTGCGGACACACAGCATACCACACACTCATTAACATACATTTCTGATTTTGTTTTCCAGATTTTATATTTGATTAGTGCGTCATCCGATATTTATACTCTTGAAGTGAACGTGTATCTCGAGCCCATTTAGGGCATCAAGGTTAATAATAAGAGGAAGTTAAAAATAAGGAGAAATAGTATGGCTGACCTTCCAGTAAGTACACATTTTTACTTTTTTTATTACGTTCTTTTTATTGTATTATATCAAAGTTAAAAGCTTCTTTATTGCATAAAAAAATGTAAAAATGTAAATTTTTTACATTTGCTCAGATTTTTTTTTGTAAAAAAAAAAAAACAATGCAAAAATTATTCTTTTTTTTCTAATTCATTTTTTATTATTTTCTCATATAAAAATTATCTAATTCATCATTATCATCATCATTCATCATCATCATCATCTAATTCTATTATCTTTTTCGGTCTGTTCTACCTCTATTTCATATATAATTTTTCTTGTACTTGATTTTTTTTCAGATGCAGAGTCAATGTTATAAGCGTAGGCTGCGCAGAAAAATAGAAAAAGAGAAACAGAAAAGAATTAGACTCAGTGAAGTAAAGAGAATATAGTGACACAAGTTCAGAAATCATTCGGAGAGGGGTCAAAGAGTCAAGTGAATCAGATGAAAACTTAAATGAAAACTTAGATGAGTTATTAGAACCTGAGATATTTTGTAAACAAAATCAGGAAACCGTGATTGCTTTCAATATATTTCCATGCGACAGAATTGAACATGCAAGAGAATCTCACGACTTTGAGTATGAAATGAATAATGATAGGTTTGTTGCTGATTTTTTGATGTTGCATGGCGCTCTTACTATCCTTTCCAGTCTCATGCTTGTTCAGTCAGAGATCATGTGTCATTATTCTAATGATTTGCTACGAGCATTTATTAATCATTCTATTGTAATTTATGGTAAAACGTTTGTAGTGTATAATGTGCATTCACTTTCTCATTTAACTCAGGAATGTTTGTCTCATGGAGCATTGGATAAATTTAGTGCCTTTCCTTTTGAGAATTATTTAAAATCTCTCAAGAGTTTACTTAAATCAGGTTACAAACCTTTATAGCAAGCTGCGCGTCGTGATCTAGAAAGAACAGTATCAGTGTCAGTGCATCTTCCAACTAATGATAAAGAAGTTACTTTGTCACGTAGGCATTATTGTGATGGCGAGATCATTGATGGTTTTTATTTTCGAAGTATTTCTATTGGTAATGTTGTTTTACAGGTTGGTCAGAGAAACTCTTGTTTTATGACAATTGACGGAAATATATTTGTATTGTTAAATGTTGTGAAAAGACGAGAAGATATACACCTAATTACAAACAAGTTTAACAAAAAAGAAGATTTTTATACATATCCTTTTCCTTCATCTCTTGTTCGTATTTTTAAAGTGTCAAATCTGGGTGACCAAAGAATTGTACTGCCATTGACAAATATTCAATCAAAATGTTGGTTAATACCCTACAAAAAATTTTTTGTTTCTATTCCTTTTTTGCATTCTATGCCTATGTTTTAATTTTTTATATTTTTCTTTATATTTGTATTTCAGTTTGTCGTTTTAAAATTTTTACCTGACGATGTCAACAATGATAATATTTGCTACGATATCGGCCTTACAAAGTGGTTGATTGAAGTGAATGAAGATATGGAAGGTCAGACATATTGGCCACCGCGTAATGTTGAAGCTGGAAGCTTGGTCCGTCAAGAAGTAAATGCAGACGAAACTTGGCCCAAATATCGTGTACATGTTAAGAGATATCACGGTATGTTTGTTTTTATTTATTCGAATTTTTCTCCTTTCTCCAAATTTGAAAAGGTTTAAGTTGAAAAATATTTTTACTTTTTTTCCAGATTTAAATACTCAGTTATTTAAGATAGACAGGAAATTGGAGAACTTAAGTTGCAAAATAAATACAGTTATAACGAATCAAGGAAAACTATACAGATGTTTGCTTCCTCAGGAAAAGAAAATACTGGAACCACATAACATGCCTTCTTTGCCTTTTCGTAACGAATTTTAGTGTGATTATCTTACCTCTTTTGGATCTGCTAGTGATGAAAGAAAAACTGCTACCATAATTATGCAAAAACTTATGTATAATTCTTTGGCCAAAAATTATAATTTTGATGGCCATGGTGAGAAAAGAGGTTTAAAAACACTGCAACTGTGGACAGTTATTGAAGGTAAGATCCTAATGTCTTGTTAGTTTGCTCTCTAGTTAATATTGTCTTGTTATCTTTTTTGCAAATTTGGAATACTTTATATACCAACAAACTCTGAAATAATAATCCTATAATTTTGATATACATTATACTTACTGTACTGAATTAGTGTACTAAATTACTGTACACTACTGTGTTTATATCCTTGTTGCGGATATATTCTTTAATTTATTTTTGTTGTTTAACTTAATATGGATGTCTTATCCTTTAATAATTTAATTATTTCTTGTTTTGCAGGGTTTTTGTCACTTAAATTTCCGGACAGCGACCTTGATACAGCACTTAAAACCATAAAGTCATGGTTACAAAATGCTAGCGGTAGGAAACAAGAGGAATATATTGGCTTTGATAGCCATTAGAAAAACATTTCTCTCTTTTGTTGCGGAGATCTCAGAGAGTCGGCGAGTCTCGAAGGCGAAACTTCTGCGCAAAGTGGTAGACGAAATCCACCGTGATCCGCAACACCTTATGCTGACGACGGATTATATTCTCATTGTATTCGCCGTTCCCTTCGATCATGCCTGTGACAGGATTGCTAAACCACTCTTTAAATTCGCGATGAGACTGGAAAACGTTAGGCATAAGAAAGTGCATGAGCGACCACAGTTCCATTAAATTATTCTTGATATTTTGCGCCTCGTCTAAGATAAGATATTTTTATTTTTTCCGTGTAAAGCTTTGGTAATCCTGTATTACTAACTTTAGCTAATAAGTAGCTGCTAATTGGCTGTTATTAATTTATTACCTTCCTACTTTAGCGTAAATGTTAAACGGGTTGTTTCTTGTCGCTCTTCTCAAGTTGTGAGAATAAGTAAGAAAAAATTGTGTTGCTAGATTTTTATAGCTCCCTTTTTTTTATATATATAGAATTGAGACACGGAGTTTGATAAGTACAATTGTCTATGTATGCAGGCGAACACAGGTGCAAGTTTCCGTAGTAATAATTTATGTTCTGCGAAAAATATTTATTTATAATGATTGCACAAAAAATAGATCAAGCATCACGATGTTTAATTTGTTCATTTTTTTAAATACTAGTGTGTATATAAGAAAGTCTCCTTTTTTTTTCTTTAATAAATATGATATGTGCCGAAACTGAAACAGGAATTGTCGCGTGAAAAAATATGTATACATCATCGATATAACGTGTTGTAACATGTAACGTAAGAATATTAAACATTTGTAAGGCGTAACGCGGTTTTAATATATAGATTTTAATATATTTTAATATATTAAAGAACTTTTTTAAATTAAATGTTGTGTTCACTCTTTCTTTAACAAGACCCGACAATGTGTATTAGGTATTTTTAGGCTGGTATTTATTCCCAGCGAGAAATGATTCATCGATAACCCATCGAAACGACGTCTAATTAGACGTCGTTTCGATGGATTATCGATGGATCATTTCTCGCTGGAAAACTAAAACATCTATAACATGTCGATAAGACGTCGGTAAGACGTCGAATCCGATATCGATTAGACGTCGTCGATTAGATGTTGAAAAGACGGCCGTTTTTAGGTCTGCGTCGACCTTATTTCAGATTAGACGTAGACGCGTCTATAGACGTGCGTTTCGACGTCGGTCCGACGTCGGATAGACGCTAGCATTCCGGCTGGGGAGGTGATTCCTCGTCGGGATGAAATTTGTCGTGAAGGAAGTGGCGGTGCTAAGAAAAGGCTGCGTTCTGACGCATCACATCTTTACGTACCCCATGCCGTGGAATTTCCTCACAAATTCGGACAAATCGTGCGCTACCTGGTTGATTCGCAATTATCATGGATTACGATGGGAAGACGGAAACGTGCCGTACAGCATGGTGAAACGCCTGATTACATCGGCCGTGCTAGGTGTGGAAGAAAAAGAAGACGATGAAGAAGTTGACGATGACGACGAGATGCCGACTCTTGTGTACGTCAAGGGATGTCAGAAACGAGAATGGCTGGTGGATCTGCTGGAGAATTATGCGCGAAAATACCTAATCGTCGAGACTCTGAATGCGCATTACGATAATATCGAATCTTTGAATAAACTAGATGACACCAATACTATGCGATGCAGAAAACATGAAAAGAATTGCGCGTTACAAAATGTAATAAAATTATTTAACTGGTGGTCGCGCACGATGCCATAAAGATTTGCAATTTTTTTTTAAATAAATAAATTATATATAACTTTTTATGTTTTATTTCTTACTCCCCCTTCCCTCTCCCATCATCGCCGTTAGAGTAGGCTTTACTTCTCCCTCTCCTAAAAAATCCATTGCGCAGTTCTATAAACATTAATTCCCCCTCTCTTTTCCCCCACCACCACTACATTACTTTTTGGAGTTGTCGCGTATACTCGATTAATTTCATATGATCAGTCTTGTCGCGATCGCTTGTACTGACGGTCAACTTCTCAGAGCCTAGAGAGCGAAAATGTTCTCCTTTGAAGGATGCAATAGCAGCAGCAGAAGCAGCAACAACGGTGCAAAACGTGTGAATGCCATGAATTATTACGTGCCGATTCACGACGTTGAAACTTAAACGTATGAAAAGAAATGTAACAGGTAAGTTTCGTTTAGGATAAAAAAAACATCTAGAGCCTACCCCAGTTTTTATATCGTTGCAAATTGTAATATTTACGATAAATAAAACTAATTTCATTTTTTTTATACAGCATTTCGTTGGACCTTCGTATACTCAGCAGACGATACGCGCTGACAGCTACGAAATACAAATTCCTCGAAATTGGCATCAACGTGGGTCCACCGAGCTACGTGGAGAACGCCGTTGGAGATCATCGAGGAAAGGAACTGCTGTAGTCTCTCGAAACGTGAAAGACACTCTACGAGCAACGGCAAAATATTCAGAATTTCTTTCGCAATGACTTCAAAGATGCCCATTGTTTTATAAACGTGGACCATTAACTGTGAAAGTTCGTACGTCGGTTAATAACGTCAAACTCATACGTCTAGAATCTGTAAACGTACGCTTGATGATGACCGAATCGACGTTGCATCGTATGTTTGATCTCGATCGGTGCATCGATGCGAGATTCGATCGATTGGTCAGAATACTTGCGGCAGTCGATGCAAAGTTTGCGCAGTTCTCCGATATCGCGTCCACTGTGAAGAATCCCAAGGAAGCGTCGAATGTAATATACGCTAGCGATGCGTTCAATACGAATCAGCTCATCGATTGTGAGCTCGCAGCTTTAGTTTTTTAGCACGTAAGATATATTATGTAAAAGAAGAGTTAAATAAACAGGCTTTTTTTACAATTAAATAAACGATGTAATTTCTTTGCGTGCATGTCCATTCTTACCTATATTTTATCAAATGTTGTTTACGACGAACATGTTCCAACAGGTTCGATGCGTTATCGGGTCGATCATCGTCTCGATGACGTCATTTTGCTTCCTCATAGAGGGAACTTTGTTTTCGTTTAAAAAAAATTTTTTTTGTTTTTCTGAATGTGTTCAGAATGTTCTAAAACGTTAAAAAATTGCAATTTTAAAAAATGTCTGTATGTATGTATGTGTGTGTGTGTCTGTATGTGTGTGTGTGTATGTGTGTGTGTACGTGTCAAATTTACCGAAATTTCTATAAGTCCAGAACTAATCAACCAAATATTAACGAATTATATATGAAATAAAGGTAAAAAAACTGAAAAATATAATAAAAGTAATAAAAATTGCTAATAATCAAGGGGTTCTTTTTTAATAAAATTTTGAATTTTTTCAGAAATGTTTGTTTATGCTTTAATTTCCGCAAATTTAGAGATATCGATCTATTTCTAATTTTATTATATTTTTCAGTCTTTTCTACCTCTATTTCATATATAATTCTTTAAGATTTGGTTGATTAGACTTAGCTTTATACGCGATCAAAAGTCCCTAATTTTTAGAAAAATGTCTGTAATAGCTTTAACTTCTGTAAATTTTAAGATATTGGTCTATTTTTAATTTTGTTATATTCTTCAGTTTTCTCTATTTCTATTTTATATAATTCTTTAAGGTCGGTATTCATAGTCGGGTCTTATATTCAAGATCGTCTTAAGTATAGTCTTAAGGCATCATCAGCCAATCAGAGGGCTTTTTTAGCATCTTAAGACGTCACTTCCTCTATGAGGAAGCCAAGTGCAAATTTCTAATTTGCACCATTTTTTATATATATTTTCAATCAACATTTCCTAATACACTTTGAATTTTGATTCTAACTTACTGACTGGGAAATCAGTCGTCGCAGTCCTGCATAAATCTCGCGGAATCCCGCACAGGTATATTTTCGGGATTAAAAAATAGCGTGGGATCCCGCATTTTTGCGGGATTCCATTTTGCGAGATTGCAAGCACTAATATCTATCGACTCCGCTTTAAATTTGAAAAACTTTTTACGTTTTCTAGTTTTTTAATCGCCGCACCACAAAATTCCGTATCCGCACCCAGTACATCAATGCAGAGTGACGACAATTTTGGGATTGTGGAACAAAGAACGGGAATAGCTGATTACTTCGGGTAATTATCTTATTTCCTTATTGTTTATATTGCATTAATAATCCAGTTAAATTAATCGTTCATCTCTACGTGACATCGGTTTTGGGGAGCACTTTTCATTGACGTGTAGTCTTAAAAATTAATAATGCCATGAAACTATTGTGGAAGCAATAAAAGAAAAGTAGCCAAATGTTTTCCTTTGTTTTTGTACGTACTGCGTAGATAGATTGTTTAGCGAATTTGTTTAGTCTACGCGATAACACCCCCTTTTTCAAGAAAAATGTTGTTTACGACGAACATGTTCCAACAGGTTCGATGCGTCATTTTTTTCTTTGTCTCGCGTACTGCGTAGATAGATTGTTTAGTCTACGCGATAACCGCTCCCCCTTTTCCTAGAAAATAGTTGTTTACGACAAACATGTTCCGACAGGTTCGATTGTTTAGTCTACGAGATAACACCCCCTTTTTCCCAGAAAAAAATGTTGTTTACGACGAACATGTCCCGACAGGTTCGATGCGTCATCGATAAAACACGCTCCTACGTAGTGCGCTATCGAGTTAGTCTTACCCATTGTGCGCCGCCTAGCGGCGTCGTTGCGAACGAGGCCCCCGCGGCTCGACGGACCCCGCGGACCCCCCCGCGAACCCCCTCGCGACCCCGCGGACCCCCACGTGGACCCCGCGACGCGACCGCGACCGCGAACGCAGACTTCCCCTCCCGCGGACCCGCGGCGCAGACCAGCGGCGCGGGTGAATTATCCCGGTGATTCATCCCGGTGACTCATCCCGGTGAGTCATCACGGTGGTATGCCAAAGTCAACCTCCTCCCCCCTCGCGGTGTAACCTGATATCCTTGAAATCCGATACCCTTGGGTAACCCGATATCCTTGTGTAACCCGATACCCCGCCCCCTCCCCCTTCCCCTCCGCGTTATCTCTTTTTAATCTGATACCTTTGTGTAATCCGATACCCCGCCCCTTCCCCTTCCCCTTCACCCCCCGCAAAATCTGATACCCCTCTCCCTCACCCCCCCCTCGGAGCTAGCGGGTTAGAACACTCATAAGTTAACTACTCTTGTACGTATGGGGTTTTCACGTTCGGGTCGGCCGAAGGGGATGAGCACGGAAATTTCATTGTGCATATTTCGAGAACACATTAATCGAGAAACATTTTAAGACAATAATTATTTCTCTTTCTGTATTTTCACTGATACTTTACTCTTATATCATATAGATCTTTTTTGTGTATATCTTTTAAACTATTATAGATAGACGAATTTTGTTTGAGGCACTTGAAAGCACATAATTGTAGCATATTGAGTTTTTTATTTTATATGTAATTTTAATGAATAGGGATGCTAGCTTACATTAAGCTAACACCCTTACTTTCAATTGCAATTTCCCATAAAACTGCTCAAATATAAAAATTGTTAATAGAGCACATAAAGAGCACTTAATTTCTGCATATGTGTAATTCCGGTTTTTTGTGGGAGGGGTGCTAACTTAACAGACATGAGATGCTGACATATACATAGGGGGAATCCGGGAGAGTTGAACCACGTTTTACTTAAAGATCCATAAAATTTAGTGTAATTGATCTACAGATTTTTTTTATGTCAAAGTAAAGCTTTATTATATGTCTACGATTTGTGGATTTAATAATTTCAATACGTTTATAAACGTAAATGTTATATTAAATTAGAAAAAAAACGAGATTC